CAAGCTGGGCAGAACCTCCTCAAGCCCAGCGTTCCTCACTTCCCTTTGCAGCATGTCGCTCCCTGGAATACCTTCCACCCATGTATCTTCAGTCCTTGTTTCGTGAGTGGCTTTTTTCCATCAGTGACACAGTTGCTAAAATCAGAATGAACAGCAACATTTCCTGGTGTCATCAGCATATTTGTTTATTAATATAGATCAAAATCCGTTTGCTCACACAGACGCCCTTTACTATAAAGAACTTGCACATACTTTGCAAATTAAGGTTTGGATAGAATCGAGAGGCACAACATACAGATATGAAGACGGAAGTGGCCCCAGGAGGTTGGTAGCTGAGCTCTGAGGAGCCCCGTGAAGCTGCTGCACAGAAGGAGGCCGACCCCCCAGCTCCTTCCGGGAGGAGGGCAGACGTTGCGCCCCCCCCCGCCCCCATGCACATTCCTGCCTCCGCTGGGAGGTCAGCCTGAGGGCACCGAGACCCTCAGATCTGGGGGTTGCATCCCCACCAGGCCTGGGCGGGGACAACGTGGAGAGCTGCTGTGTGTCTCCTTCGTGTGTCTGTCCATGCCCAGGCCGTACCCGAGCCTGTCGGTGGCACAGACAGCACATCCTTGTGCTCCTGCAGCCGTGAAAGCGGCCGTGCAGAGCCACCAAACCCAGTCCTCCCGCCCGGCCCGGAGCTGCCTGCAGATCTGGCAGACTGTCCACCTCGATGGTCGGTCGTGTGTGTGCTGGGGAACAGCTAGGGGTGCACATGGCCCTCGGGGCCATCGCTATTTGGGGACTCCACGGTGAAGAGCTTGAATGCGGAAGGAAGGCTGACGGTGAGCGAGCCCGGCTGCAGCAGGCTGCCAGCTCCCGGTGGGAATCCCGCTTTGAAACCCTACACGAACCAACCTCCACGCTCCGTACTCAGTCTCCAGAGTGACCCGCCCACACACGTGTCATCGTGGGGAGTGCTGCCCAGTGTTTTCTTGTTACAAGTGAGCTCTTCTGACCATTTCTGGGAAAGAGACGAGCACGGAGGGGTTACGGGTGGCACTCCGTTCCCCTGAAAACCATTATAGCTTAATTTAATTAAAAGGGAACTGAGAGCACAGCTTGTAATGTTTCTATTTCTGCTCCTGAATTTATTTCGGGGTTGAATCCAGTGCTTCAATTAACATTCCCGTCATGGTAGAGCTCAGCCAAATTAGCTTTTATTAATTGTCCACGGTTTGGTTTCCTCATTCCAAGCCTGATTCTAATGGATGAGGGCAGGAACGGAGCAGCTGATCTGGCCTGAAGCCCAAATATCCACCTGGAACATGCTCAGGGGTGGCAGGGGCCTGTCCTAATGGTCACTGTGAACCCAGCCTGAGTCCCCAGCACACGTCACACACAGGGAAGGCACCTGGAAAAAACTTACAAAACGACCTATTTCTTTTTGGCATAAAACTCAAAACCAATTTCTTTCAAAGTTTATGGACAGATCCCCAGTAAAGAATGTCATCTATCCCTGAGCAAGGCAAGACGAAATTGGGCTTATCTTTTAAAATTCCACTTAAAATATATTTTTACAGAACAAGTGGGGAATTAAAGGCACCGTCGAGGAAACCCCCAGTTCCAAACACTGTGCCTGTGTCGTGCCTCGGAGACAGACATCTGTGTTTGTGATCAAAACACTGTTTTGTTTGTAAGTCTCTCGAGTCAAACTCACTGACATTTGTGTCAGGTTTGTTAGATTCCAGGAAACCCTGTGTGTACGCGGAACAACGTTTCACAACAAATTTCCTGTTTGTTCCTACCTTTGTCGTCACTCACTCCCTGAACGAACCACATGCGTGAGGGTTTTCCCCGCAATCTCTTCTCTCTTTCAGAACAAGGGGTTTTTGAAAATAAGGGAGCCCTGGTGAGCCCCGGAGGCCACCCCTGTCTCTCAGCCAGGCCGGGACTGCCGGGGGCTGGCAACAGCCACCACTGTCCCCAGTAAACACAGGTGATCGCAGGAGACTGGACTGGCCGGGCCAGCAACATGCGCCCGTCCCTGGGCAGCCGTCTCCTCCCAGGTCGGGCGTTTAATTCTGTGCCTTCGCTGTTGAGCGATCCTTTGATGCGGGCCTGGGATTGTTACTTCACATTTCACATGCGCTGGACACCTCGTCACTTCAGAAATGCGCTGAAGTGGGTGAGGTGGCTTTCACAGAATTAGCCACTTCCCCAGCAAATACATTTGCTCCGTGGCTGTGCCGGGGGGGTCTGCCCAGAGCCCCCTGGACGAGTGAGTCCGGCGCTGAGGCCGGAGGAGCCCCCGTGTGACAGGGACACGTTCTGGAGGGAAGAGCGTCTGAGCTGCCCCCGTGCTGCCCACGGCGCCAGCTGGCAGGTCCGCCCGTCACCTCTGCTCGTCAGCCTAAACAGGGAGTTCCTGTTCTGTACGCTTGTGGAAATTGTCAAGGCTGTTATTGTGAAACTGTCTGAAACAATTTGATTTCCTCATTAAAGCTACAGGTGGAAAGAGAAGTGGTCCATCCGGCGTGTGGACTCCGCTGCCGGGGGCAGCGTTCCGAGCCGAGGCGGGTGACCTGCAGCCGCCGCGGCCCCTCAGCCCGCCCTGCGCTGCTCTGCGCGGACAGTGTGGTGACTCGCTGCCCACGTCTCTTGTTCACGGGGGAGCTGGGAACCATGAGCACCGGCCTGTACCCTCGGAAGGCGGTGTCATGCGGGGTGGCCTGTTCAAGCCGAGAAATACTCTCGATTGGGAAGCTCAGCGAGAAACCGAACAGCAGCCCCCCACAGAGACCGTGAGAAGTTCTCGTCTGAAGGCCAAGGTCGCAGAGAGCGAAGGAACACGGCCTGGCGAGGGGGGAGCCGGCCCGACGCCATGGCCCCCGTGACACGCAGAACAAGTGAGGGGGCTGTGGCCGCTGGGCTCAGTTCCAGCTGCGAAGCGGTGGATGGAAGACTGCACCTCTCGGCTTTCAGGTGCCAGGTCAGGGACAGACGGAGCGTCACCTCTCGTCACCAGGAAAACGTAACGTGGCACAGCGAGTGCCACTCACACTGCTGCCCATGATCAAGCTCGAAGATAACAAGTGTCGACGAGGAATCGAGTGGCAGGAACGCATCGCACTGCCCCACGGGGGACAGGCCGGTGTCCGTTCCATCTGTGTGGGCTTCACAGACGTGGGAGACAAAGGCAGCTCGTAGGGCTCCGCACGCGATAAACGGAAGAGGTGGCAAGGGGACAGCCGGGCAGCGGGGGACGGCCAGGCAGCGGGGGACGGCCAGGCAGTGGGGGGCGGCCAGGAAGTGGGGGACGGCCAGGAAGTGGGGGATGGCCGGGCAGCGGGGACGGCCATTGTGGACCCCAGGGATGCAGGGGGAAGATGCAGTCAGAAGGGGAACAGACGGCCATTTGAGCATTTAAATGTGTACATGTGATACACTTTATAATAAATGTTCAATTTAAAATAATACGAATGTGACTAGGAGACGGGCTGAAGCAGCACCATTCTCAAGCAGAGAAGCAGAATCGAGTTACCACTAAGAGCTATTAACAAAAATTCCAGAAGATCCTTTGGAGAAATTTCAAGTGGTTTTTCTGTATCTGATTTGCATAAACCGGGAGCGCCCCCAAGGTGGTGGGGGGCCGGGCCGGGCTTTTAAAGGAGAAAGGTACAAGCAGCTGCCCAGCGAGGAGGCAGGCGGTGCCAGGAGCCCGGTGGGCAGGCGGGACTGTGCCTGGTGCAGGCTGTGGGGCCTCATGGGGCCGGACTCCCGCCACGCCCAGCAGTAACGGGGGGACTCGTACCAACAGCCCGGGGGCAGCCTGGACCCCACCTCAGCTGGCAGCCCCCCCGCCCCCTGCAGAAGACGAGTCAGAGAAAGGCAGGCAGATGGTTTGAGTAAGGAGGGCCTCCTAATACAAAAATATCCAGGTTCCAGTCAAAAGTCACCCCTCCTACCAAGAAACGGGAAGGTATGGGCTGAATGAAAGTGGCAGTGGACACCGGTGTGAAGGGGACAGATGTTAGCAGTAGCTGGCAGACGCTGTGACGCGTGTTATCTGCAGGCAGAGCGCAGAGGTCTGTGAGCGCGCCGCGCGGGACCGCCCGCCTGTCCCAGGCGCCTGTGTGAGCAAACACACAATCACAAATGTCTGCATGTCTGCGCTTTTGCCCGACTTGGCTGGACGTGTGCCCACGTGTGCCGGGGGGAGTGCGTGTGTGCGTGCACGTGTGTGTGTGTGTGTGTGCATGCACATGTGTGTGTGTGTGTGTGTATGTGTGTGTGTGTGTGACGGGCCAGGAGGCGAGGAGCCCTGTGCCTGCAGCTCAGGGCCTAACGGCGCTGGGGCCCCAGGCAGGCGCTTCTCCCAGTTTGGTTCCAGGTCATGTGTCAGCAGAGTCCGCCCCCACCCAACAGCCCCCAGAGGGTGGGACATGGGCCCCACTGCAGCCCCCTGTCACCTGTGAGGGGCCCTCGGTCCTTGCTTTGTGTTTTGCTGCTGCCGGTGCTTCTCTGCGTTGGTTGTTGTCTGTGGGACTGCTCGTCAAGAGTTTTCCCAGCAAGGCAGGTGCGGATTCTCCTGGAAGGGCCTCCAGCAGGTCCCGAGGCGCTTGTGACAACAGAAACGTGTGCCCATGAGAGCAGGGGCCTCCGAGCGCGTGAGCGAGCAGCAGGTCAGGGACCCAGCGGCTTCCCGCCATCATTGAATGGGGATTTGTTGGGCTCCGTTCCTTCGTTTGCTTTTAGGGTGATGTCTGCAGAGACAGACCAACGTTTACAGAGTTGGAAGGTTTGCCAGTGAAAAAAACCAAGAAAGTGCTGCTCGAGGCAAAACAACCCCACGGGTTTCTTGTGGCTGTGGGCTGTCCAGTTTCACTCGTGTCGTTTGCGTGTTTAGCTGTAAAAAGTAGTTTCTGAGCCCGGGGGCGGGGGATTTGCAGTTCTCCGACGGATGCTGAAAAGCGCTACTAGAAAACGTTTAACCGGAACTCGCTCGCTCTTCCTTCCAGTCCAGGACGTACGTGTGCAGCTGGCGAGGACGGACGCTCTGTCTCACGGTGGACTTCGCGCTGGGATTCACCTGCTTCGACAGCAAGACAAAGGTGAGATGCCAACGCCCGAGGCCGGGTGTCCCCTGGTTGGTGCTCTGTCACTCGGCAGAGATGGCCCTCGCGAGCGTGTGGCAGGAGTTGCGCTGTGTGTAAGTCGTACCTTCCAAGACGATCTTCTCTCTGACGCGTTGCTCAGGACCCCACGATTCCCACAAGTCCGGTGCTGGGCGGTGTTGGCAATGAGCGGCCCCGTGGTGTTGGGGACACTGTCCCCACGGCGGGCGCAGGGGGGGCGAGCAGGGTTCCCGGTCCTGCTCAAGGGCAGGGTCCACCGCACTGAAGAGAACCCTGGACAGAAGCCCACCTGCCGCCTGAAGGGAGCCCGGGCGCGTGGAGGGGGCTCGGCGCCTGCACCTGGCGGACTGTCCGGCGCTGGTTCCAGGGACGCAAAGCTGTGCTCAGCTTCCGTTTCACCCGACTGTAAACGCCCAGTGTGAGCAGCGCGGAATCAGGGCCACTCCCAGCAGCATACTGCAAAGACCAGGCGTCCACCTGCCTACGCAGGGGTTGAGAAAACGTTTTGCGACACAAAGCCAGTGTGTTGTCACATCGCTCTCGGCTCATCAGGACGGTGGGGCAGGAGGCATCGGCGTGAGGTGCTGTGCTGTGACGTCCACTGGAGGGAGCACGGAGTGCCCGGCCACCTGTCGCCTCGTCCCGCGGCCTGGGTCACGCGCTGGCCGCCCCGGTGCCATGGGCTGACTCTGGGCAGAGGCAGCCTCTCTCAAAGCCCCGGAAGCTGCTCTCATGTCCTCAGAGTTGTTGGTTCACAAACGTGTGTTTTCAGCCATTAGGACAGTCTCTCTGTGTGATCAGTCCCTGCAGCCCCGCCACGAACCTGAGGGAGGGACGTCCTCCTCTAGGAGCTGGCTGTCACTTCTGTGCCCTTCATCTGGAACAGCGGCTCCCACAGGGAGTTTGTCCCCGGGACACTTAGAGACGCCTGGAGACACTGTCACACGGGGGGTTGGGGGACATTTCTGTGGCCGCTGGGGGCAGAGCCTGGAGGTGACGTCGAGCGTCCCACGGAGCAGGCGCTGTCAGCTCACAGCCAAGAGCGCGGAGCTGGGTCCCTTCCTGGGCAGCAGCCTGCGCCCCTCCCAGAATCCCGGACCAGAAACCGCACGTGATCATGGTGATTCTGCCTCCTCCCGGGAGCACGGGCAGGGTGCTCCCCACAATAAGGCCTCCCTGGTGTGTGGAATGGCATGGGGTCTGTTTGCAGACACATTTAATAGCAAGAAGGATTTCATGTCTGCCACCCAACATCACCATCACAGGCAGGACTGATGGCTCCCGGCCCCACGCGGTATCTTCACGGCCCGGTCCCCCCACAGCCCCCAGTACGGGCTCCGTGACTCGCTGTCACTGCTCCTTGGCCATGAGCCAGACTCGCACAACCTGTCACACGTGTCCTGAGAAGCCAAATGACCTGCAGCTCCCCTAGAGTAGGGACCCCACCTTCCAGCCACTGAGCCCGCAGGCCTGATTTCCTGCTCTCTGACGGCGACTTCCCAAATTTCACTTAAGAGCAGGGCTTCGCAGTCCTGAGTGCCGCCCGGGCTCCCCCGGCTCCTCCTCTGCTGCCCATGGCCGTGGGAACCCAGAATCTCTCCTTCCGAGGTCAACACACTCACCCCAGGCTCCTGGGCACGGTTCAGTCAAGGTTAGCGAGTGCCGGGCACCCAGTGAGCCAAAAAGGTCCCTGCGCCCTCCGGTGGGGTCCGCTGGTGTGTCCTGCTCACAGGACCAGAGCCGTGGCCACGCCCCTTCCCCACGGCCAGCCCAGACAGGTAGTGACTTCAGGCCCCAGAGGGAGTTGGCACCCTCCCTTCAGGGGACCCCACAGCCCCCCCCTGTGGACGATGGAGGGAAGGAGATAGGCACCCCCTCAGAACACTGATGTTTTGGAGGGGCCATCGGAAGGTCCAGTGGGACTGAGGAAGTGACAAGGACAGGCTGTCCCACACCCTGCCCCCCGCAGGCCCCTGCCACATGGTGGGATCCACACGGAGGGAGTGACGGGCCAGCGGGGACCCCGGGAGCGGACACCAGAGCGGGACGCCCGAGCACTCACTCAGCAGCACTAACCAGCATCACCCAGCGACTTCTTTCTCCCACAGCTGCTACAACTGGTCTCTCGGGGACGTTATGGTCCCTGCTCCTCCGGTGTGTCATGTGCCGGCAGGTCTGCCCAGGGCCCTGGGGAGCTATCACCTACCCAGGCCTGCAGCACAGTTCCCTGAGATTAACCAGGTACAATTTGAAATCGCTGTGATGTGTTTCCTGCTGCTGTGTGGCCTGGGCCGTGGAGCTGGGCGGAGCCGTTCTGGTGACCGGCCTGAGAAACTCAACGAAGCTCTCGTTCCTAACGCGCGTTTGTCCGTGGCCTGAACACCTGGCTCTGCCAACCCCGTGGACCGAGACCTCGGCTGTGGGAGGGAGCCTGCCAGCCTCTCAGCGGGACTGGGGCCTGTGTGGTGGCAAAGGGACCATGAGCTGGATGTGGCGGGGTGCGGCCAGGCCAGGAGCGGGCTGCGGGCGGGCGGTCAACCTCCCAGAACCGCTGCCGTCCGGACGAGACCGTCTGACCTCGCCTGAGTCTGTCACCTGCTCCACGTCAAGTCCACTCTCTTTAAGTCAATGTTTCTTTGCTCATCTGAAGTTCACGTTCACACCAGGACCTTCTCCTGACCTATTTTCCTCTGAAGGTGAACTTGCATTTTTCACGTAGATACTTTATTTCAAGAGATTCTGGCCTAACACTCATGTATTTATTTTGTACTCAGTAACTGAAAATGAAAACAAAATATGACAGTACAACAAGAAAACTGGTTCACAAGCTTGTTTCATGTCTTCCTTAAAAATTTTTTTTAATTTAAAATATTTGAATTAATTTTCAAAAGAAAAGCTTTCCCAGATTAACTGAAGCATATACCAATGAGTTGTAACGCTGTAAAATATTTATAACTTCCTTCATTTGACAAACCCTCATTTGTAAGTTCAGTGTAAATAGGTTTTCAATTACTTCTAGAGTGATCTGAAATAATTATGAAAATAATGAAGTAATTACTGAATACAAAATGACTATGAATAATTATGAAAACCTCACTTACACTCACAAGGTAATTAGCAGGCACCTGTTGGATCAGACCACTTGTGTAGGAGTCCTCGGTCAGAACTAGACCCATGACATGGCAGCAAGTCTTATTAACCAAATGTTTGCAAGAAAAAGGACTAGATTTGGACACCAGTCCAGATGCCACCCACCCACCTGCCTGGACATCACCTCTGCGGTCAGATGTGTCAGTTCCCCACTCGCGGCCCTGCCAGGGGACAGCTGAGCAGCTGCTTTCAAGCCTGAATCTATTCACCATGGAAATACCCTTTTCAACACTGACACAGAGGAGTGAAGCTGAGATCTGAAATGACACAGGGAAAGAAACACATTTGCCCACGGAAATTTTTCTGTGCTTACAAAGTAAGTGGGAAGAGCATTATCTAGTATTTTCAAAATTTCTATACAATTTGAAAAATATATTTAAACTAGAATAAACTAGAACTCCGTGCGAGCTACCTCCCAGTCAACCTTCACGCTAGAAATGGCTCCACTCCAGGCAGACACAGCCCCACGCTCGCCCCGAGGCGGCCGGGCGGTTAGAGGTGGCCCTCCCCTCCTGCCGATCCCTCGGCTTAGCGGTAACCGATGTCCTGCCTGCGCGGTGACTCGCAGAGGTGGGTGCAGACGTCACCAGGAATTGGAAACACAGGAGGATCTGGGGCCGCACACGAGACTGGACAAGGAGCGGCCGGTGGGAAATCCTGGGGCAGCGTCTCTGCGGGTCCCGGGCCCGCATGCGGCCTGCACGCGAGTAAGCGTCATTTGAGGCCCAGAACCAGCGAGCACGTGTCACCGGGGCTGCCTGCAAAGCTGGCCTTGTCCCTGTGTCTGCGCCTGTTCCAGATTTTCTGACCAGATGGGTGCTTTTCGCCCAAACCCAACATGATCATTCCGTATTTAGGACGCCGAATGGGGACCCTCGTGACCATGTGTGGGCCTGACCCCAGGTGGCCTGCTCTTGGCTGAAACCCCATAACTTTGTGAGGTTGAGGTAAGACTGAGGTGGAAAAACAGATTCGTTTTTCAAAAAGATGAAAGGAAAACTGCAAAGGAACCGAGTTTCTTGTGGGGAGCAGGTGGTGATTTGGGTCTGGCCTGACGGAAGGCAGGAAGGGGTCCCCACACCAGATCAGGAAAGCACCAAATGAGTCCGCTCTAACACAGGGGCACCTCGTCTTTTTATAAAGTGAAGGAGCCGGAGTAGCTGTTCCCCAACACCTACAGATGTCAGGATCCTCTGAATCTGGGAGGAGAGTGGTGTTTGTCTGCCCTGAAATGCAGACTCTGAGGTTCACAGTCAGAGAGATTGTGGGGGTTCGGGGGGCGGTGAGGGAACAGGCCGGGGTCAGGCAGGGGACGTGCCCTTGAAATGTGCCTCAGTGTGCCAGCCTCCTTGCCCTTGGGGACATTTAGAGAAAAATAAGTTCATTATTTCAAAATAAATGCTTTTAATAGAAACCCAACCTCTAGCTTGCTAAAAATTAATTCCTGTTCTTTATTGGGACTCTTCTGGGAAGGTAAGGATTATCATGAAGTGTCTGCAATTAAAGACTATCTTTTGTAAAACACAGCCATTAAGTCGTTGTTTGGTGCAGCCCTTTTATGTTAAAGAGCAGGGATTTATAGTGCATTTCATCTCTAAAGTACCTTAGCAAACTTTAAGTAATTTTTGCACTTTAAGAGGTAATATTATCTGTATTTTTCAACTTGGCTCAGGAGAAACTAATGCTGAGCAATCTGAGCATGGAGCGGGTGCGTCCACCAGGATTAAAGGTTTTCGTTTCACCTGCACTCTAGACCGTGTCCCGTGTGCTGTAGCAAGAACGGAACTTTGAAGTGGATTTTTAAAGTTTTACAAGCAGAAAAAGGAGCAAGGATCGTACAATGCTTTCGGACTATGTACAGAAAAGTCTAAGCGAAAACGCGAGAGGGTGGCTGCGGGCGTCAGAGCCCCCAGAACAAGACCAGGAAGGTGGTGATTCTGATAAGTTATCTCAAGTTCCACGTAGATAAGATAATTAAACAAATGTCTGTGTTTATTTAAATAGATTCTTTAAGGTAAGAATAGATGTAATTAAATAAATGAGCTCTTGTTTCTACATCACTGATTCCGTTTCTTTGCAGAGCATCCTGTGGAGATTTAAGTTCTCTCAGCTTAAGGGGTCCTCGGATGACGGCAGAGCGCGAGTCAGGCTCCTGTTTCAGAACCTGGACACCAAGCAAATCGAGATGAAGGTACGGGGTTCACTCGGCAGCCCGCCAGCCCCACGTGAAGTGAGACGTCGCTGGCAGCGGTGAACATTTCCACCTGCACGTGGAAAATAGGTCCATCCCAAAGGACAGACCCCCGTACAGCCAGGCAGCGGGGACGCCCGAAGGGCCTACCTTCTGTCCCCGGCTGGGGACTCCTACGCCTAAAATTGTGAGCCTTGGAACATTTAATTTTATGAGAAAGCACAAGTATCTTAGTAAATATTAGCAGGAAATCAATATTTTAAAATACATACGAAGTCAAAATTTAAAGGAAGACTCTTACCAACTGCATTAAGTACATGATAAAGTGTCTATAATATTAAGAGCAAACTGCTGATTGAAAGGATATTAGACGTAACTTACACATTCCTAGCACGAGTTGTCACTTGACTCTCAATATGTATTGGGTTTTCCATGTTTTACGTATAAATTTGTGGTCAACAACCCAATTTTAATACAAACTAAAAACAAACTAAAGCGTGAATTCAATACCCTAAAGAAAAAGAAAAAAGCAAATGTGAGACCCATGACAAAATAGTCTATAAACAGACTCAACATTTTGTTTTTTTTCTGATGAAATTAATCAGAGGGACACATCACACATGACATTTTTACATCTGAATGTTTAGTGTCAACTTTTAACAACTCTACTGGGTTTAATGAAATAATGATCCATCTCTACTTTCTCAGAACAATTGAAATTATACAGCATTTCTTGACATTCTTACATTCAAAGGAATGGCTACGATAAAACTCTGGGTGTGAACCCTGTCACGGCTGTTGGGATGTATGAGGGGACAGCGGATGAGAGTCCGGCGTGGACACCGGGCACAGGGCACAGGGCACTGGGCGGTGGCAGAGCTGGCCGCCCGCAGTCGTTCTGTGCTGAAGAGTCCAGGGGACCTTCGTCACCACCGAAGTGCGGGGGGTTGGCTGGGAGACGTGAAAGAGCATCACTTTACCTCGGTGTTTCAGTTGCGTTGATAAGGCCACCGTGAGTACCCCGGCCTTCGTCCGTCCTCTGGTTTGTGTGTTTGTTCGCCGACTTGCCCTGGAGGGCTGAGGCAGGCAGCTGTGGGTCCTCATGCTCACGTCCTGCGAACCCCTAACCCGGTGTGTCCTGTGTGAGTGTGCAAGACGCTGTCCTGAGGCTTCCGCTGCGGCTCCTGGTGGCTTCCGTCCGCGCGGCTGTTGTCCCAGGGCACATGCTTTGGGGAGCATTCAACTACGTGCGTGGCTGTCCTTTTGATAGGTGACACCTGTTTCATTAGATTTAAAGGCAGTTATTTTTGTTTCTTTAATATTTAGTCACCTTCCGGCTCTGAGTTAGTCAATGGAGCAGAGGTATTGTCTAATGTAAACCAGACGATTTGAGATACGTGGGATTTACGTATGTTTGTTTTGAGCATGCTCAGTGCCTTCATGGCACTCTGTTTAGACGGCATCAGGTCCCAGTTTCAGTTGAAGGAAAAGACAGAACCCCAGAAAGCTGCAGAGGTGACAAGGACGGACATGGGATCCGTAGGGTTGAAGCTCAAACAGTTTTCAGGGGTCTCTTAACACAAAAAATTGCAAGTGCAGTAACTACACACAGAAATGAGTGCGAGACACAAAAGTGTCTCCCAGCAAACCCAGCGCCCCTTCACCAGGTCCCCAGAGTCCTTGCCTCCCCGTGGGGCCGTGGGATGGAGGGGGGGCAGGCAGAGAGAAACGGGGCCTGTAGGTAACTGCAGGTAAATTAGGACAGGCAGGCACGTCTCCGGGCCCCACCAGGGCCTGAGCAGCTGAGGACATAATTCGCCACGTCACCCCCAGGGCAGGAAACACACATGTAGAGAACCTCGAATAAGCCACACACGGCTTGTAGTGGTCACGCTAAGAAGCACCTTGTAAGCTGATGTCTGCATTTATTACAGCTTATGAGACAGAGGAAAGTTGGGGATGCCAGCTGGGGTGTCCAGACCCATGGCAGCTCTTGGTGTGGAGGTTTGACTTAAACAAGGCCCTTGGGTGTAAATTCTGAACGAAAGCCAGAGCTTTGTACCCACCGGGCGTAAGGTGAGCAGCACGTGGTTCTTGCCGGTGACCGGGAATGTGTGTGGCCATGAGGCATCGTTCACCCGGAGTTTCAGAGAAAGCTATTCCTGTTGCTTGACGTTTCTGGTAAATGAGTGATCGCCATGGGACAGCTTTTCTTATAATAGTTATTGGCTGTCTCTCTGGGCTGATAACCAGAGCACAGCCTTGGTAATTAGTCGTAATGAGAAAGCTGGCGTCTCTCCTGGAAGCTGGGGAGGATGATGGCGCCCGGGGCGCCAGGGTGGAACGTTTACTCTTAGGGTCCACGATTTATGAAAATTGTACACACGTCAGGAATTTGGGCTGATTCCTCAATGACTGCAATGGCTGGAGATGTGGAGTTGCAGAATTTTTTAAATGAAGCATCTGCTTTTCTTCTTTTTCCCTGTTTCTCCTTTAAAAGTGTGTAGTGATGAGCTTTATGAAATGCGTGTGTTACTCTCCCACAGTCCTGCTTCGTCGGCTGTATGTCATTTCTGAGAATTAGTCAATACGGACTCAACCTGGAGTGTGCTGGGTGGGGGCCAGCTCCACAGAGCCTGGAACACTGTGGACGTGACATTCTGTTAGCGAGCCTTTGCAGGAGGGGCCCCTGAGTGCGGCTGCTGGTTCTCTGAGCATCTGCGCAGCCCAGGGGCTGCCTCAGGCCACACCTGGGCCTCAGCATTCAGGGCGGCCTGGGGCGTGGGACCCAGGTGGCTAGCCAGGGGACAGGGCCTGTGCCATCTCCCGTCTGACCGCTGGCCCTGGGCGTTCGCAGGTGGGAAAGGCGTTGATGCTTTCAAACAGCGGCCTGGTCCACAAGGCCAGTGTACCTCAAGGAGACACGCTGGTTACTTTACGTTCAGCTGCTCAGAGCTTTGAAGACAAACTGCAACTAGCCTGGAGCCCTGTCGGCAGGCTGCGTGTCCCAGGACGGCGATAGGACGTCCGGGCACACGGCAGAGATGCGCTTTGGTGCTCGCCGAGCGCTGAGAAGCCATGTCGCAAGCTTCGTTCCTGCCAGGTGGTCCCGGCAGCTGGGGGGCTCTCCTACGCCGCGGGATTCGGCTCGCTGCAGGCCTCAGTCTGCAGAGTTCCGAGGGCAGGTTCCTGAGTGAGCGCGTGTGTGAGCGCCGCCCTGGGCAGCTGCTCCTCTGTTAACATTCACCTTGTGGGGGACACGCGGTATGAGCTCCCCGCTGGGAGGCCCGAGAAAGGCACGTCTGGGTTAGTTGCTTTCTGTTATGTTATCATCATAGTTTATGTCACCCATCAGCCAAGTCGCATTCTCATAACTTCGTTTTTCTGCTTTTTTAGTTTAAAGGACCATCTCTGTTAGGCCCTATATTTTGGACATCAAAATAATGTTGGTTTTGTAATTAAAATATACTATTGGGTTGTCGAAAAGGTCATGACATATTTTTTCTATGTGTTTCATTGCAAAAATGCATCATGACTTTTCCGACAACCCAATTATTTCAACTCAAAGATGTTGCTAAGGAAATAGACACAAACATGTCTCTCCTGACATAGAAGAAGACCGGTCATAATAATACCTCTCAGACTTTTTTAATGAAAAAATAAGGCACTTTTTTGGTGCAGATGACTTCAGAGCACTTCCTCTCTGGAAGAATGACCTCGTCACCGCCGTGCGGGCGGGACGCTGAGGCCACTGAGCTTTCTGCGATGCGCACCGCCACTGGGCTCCCGTCTGGCGGAATGACGGCCGTGCCCTGCCAGGCCGGCCTCAACGATGGCAACCCGGCGTTTCTTTTTCATTTTATAAAATTGTGGTAAAATATATGTGGTGAAATGTTTCTGTTTTAACCCATTTTAAGTGTGCATCTCGGTGGCATTAAGCACATTCACGGTGCTGTGGTACCATCCCCACCGTCGTCTCCAGGAGTCTTCGTCTTCCCAGAATGACGCTGTGTCCCCATTAGATGCTCACTCCCACCCTCCGTCTCCCCCAGGGACGCTCCTCGACTTGCTGTCCCTGTGGATGTGACGAGGTGCCGCATGTGACCGGGTCTGCGCAGCGTCTGGCCTTCTGCGCCTGGCTTCTGTCCTGCCACGTGACTTCTCAGTGTTCTTCCATGTCGGAACGCCCCCAGCGCCTTGCTCTTCTCGTGGCTGCGTTCTCTGTCACGGGGGCACCCCACATTCTGTCTGTCCATCATCTGTTGACGGACACTTGGATTGCTTCACCTTTTGGCTGCTGTGAACCCGGGGTACAAGCATCTGTCTGAGTCCTTGCTTTCAGTTATTTGGGGTGTGTATGTGTGGTGACTCCGTGCTTGGCTGCTCGAGGACTCGCTCCCACCAGCAGTGTATGGGGGTTCCGGCTTTTCCACCTCCTCGCCGGCATTTATTCCTTTCTTCTTAATTACTGCCCCTGTGGCTGTGCGGTGGTGTCACACTGTGGTTTTGGTTTGCATTTTGCTCTGGATCAGTGATGCTGAGATCCTTTCCACGAGCTTATTGGCCATTGCAAATCCTCTTTGGAGAAATGTCAATTCAAGCTCTGCCCATTTTTTTAAAAGTGATTGTTTGTCTTTTTGTGGTTGACTTGTAGGAGTTCTCTATATATTCTTCATATTAAATCCTTATGAGATACATGATTTGCAAATATTCTCTTCCATTCTGTAGGTGGTAAGTTCTGCAGGTTCTCTTGAAAATGTCCTTTGATACACAAAAGTGTTTAATTTTGATGAAGTCCAATGTATCTATTCTTTCGAGGGCGGACCCCCCAGCTTTAAGCGCCCTGGGCCCCGAAGCACCGCCAGCTTCCTGTGGCCGCCCCGCCTGGGACACGCTGAACCCGCGTGGACACGGGGTGGTTTACAGCCAGTTTTGTGTTTTTCCAGGCACAGCAGGAGGGCTTCTTGCGAGTGTGACTTCTGGTTGAGTGGAAGGCTTGT